TGGACTGATTTGACACGTGCTTCAGAACGCGGTCACGCAAGGGCGTTCCCAAAGCGAATCTCGACGCAGCTCGAGTTCCTGAAGGGGAAATAAAGATATATCTAGAGATTTCAAGTTTAAAAAGTACAGTAGCAAAAAAAGGCAATTTAAAATTAAATTATTATTATTATTATTATTATTATTATTATTATTACACAAAAATTTAATTAAAATTAAATAAAATAATGGTGCCGAAAAACATGGGTAACATTATAATTAGTAGTTTTTTAGTTTTCAGTTTTTTATGCTATTTTTCGGTTACAAAAATACAGTAAAAACAGTAATATTGTGAATTAGTATTACTATGTAAAATAACTTTTTTCTATTTTAATATAATATTTAAGATGTCATTGTAATTTTTTTTATATTCCTGTGATGGCTAATCTGAATTTCAGTCTTCAGTGTCACACAATCCTTCAGAAATCACTCTAATATGCTGATTTTGGTGCAAAGTAAAATTTGTTATTATTTTCAATGTTGAAAACAGTAGTGCAGCTTAATATTTTTGCGAAAACTGAGATACTTTTCAGGATTCTTTGAAAAGTCAAAGTTCAAAAGAACTTTGAAAACAGAATAATTTTTTTAACAATGTCACTTTTGAAGTATTTATTTCTTTGTTGATCTGTTGCATGTGCAGCATGCTGTGCTCTTATTCAGATAAAATATGCTTATTTTACACATCAAACGCTGCAATAAATTCATACACATTGTTAGTTCATTTATTATTAATTTACACAGAAAAATTAACTGTTGAAAGTCATTCGGCTTTATATCCAGCTATGCTAATGAGACTAGAACACTGGTCCAATCGAGCACAGGAGTTTAGCTCATTTCAGGAGCCAGCTGTTATATATCAATCTTACCGATGAATGGCCAATCGCTCAAGCCTAAAATAGACTGACTTTTTATCCATAATCGCTATGGAAACTGCTTCTGTGAGATACATCAGTAGGACTCTGAAATTAAGGCAATGCTTCAGAGAGATAATGTCCTCAGAAACAAACATAACACAACATGGAAGTGAAGTTTGCTAACCTGTAAGCAGTAGGAAGTTCTATAAAAAGCTATGCATGTACATTTCTAGTTCATCTCAATGCAAGTTACAAGGCCGGCACAAGACCAGTTTGGGGTCAGTAAGATTTTTGAAATAAATCTCTTATGCTGAGCAAGGCAACTTCTATTTGAATAAAAATACAGCAAAAGCATTAATATTGTGAAATATTATTACACTTTCAAATAACTATTTTTTGTTTTGTTTTAATGTATATTTAAATGTAATGTGATGCCAAGTTGAATTTTCAGCATCATTACTCCAGTCTTCAGTGTCACATGATCCTTCAGAAATCATTCTAATATGCTGATTTGGTAATTTCTTATTATTATCAATGTTGAAACAGTTGCTTGATCTCAAACTTTTAAATGGTAATGTACAAAACCTACCTATGTATTCATATAAGCTATAAATAAGACTAATAAGGCTAATCATTCTGGGGCTGCAAGAAAATTACCTCCATTATTGTCAGTGCCACTACCTACAAGAAACCCCGCAGACCATGCTGAAGAATCAGTGATGTACAGGTGCAAACAGCCACTGCAATGGTTCAGGAAAGATTCCTGACTGTACTTGAATGGTCCTTCCATGACTTTAAGCTGGACACCATCAATAAAGACAGACAGTCCACATTCAATCAGACAGAGAAACAGCTCAAATCCCAGTGGGCTGTCTGCTAGAAGAAACAGACAACTCAATACTGCAATCGCTGCCAAAGTCACCGCTACAAAGTACTGCATGAAAAGTCTGAATGCATATAAAAGGCCCATTTTTAGGGGTTTAAATACTTTCTGAAGACACTGGATGTTTTACACCATCTTGAAAATGACACACATCTGCTTGCCGTAGGGAATCATTTACAGCTTCTTCGCTAGATATTCTAGCAGAAGGGTTGTTTTTTTCTCGCTTTAGTTCTATTTTTCCTATTTTCCTTTGTATCTTTAGAGTCAAAAGCCATTTTTTATTTTCTGCATGAAGAAGAGAAAGTACAAAATAAAATCATATATTCTCTCTAACCAGAAGAACAACACTCTCTTTCTCCTGGATGCCTTTACAGAGAGAATGAAAGGAGGAAAAACAATGACAGTGAGAGAAATGGAATAAAGGAATGAAAGGTATGAGAAGGGAACAGCAGAGAAAGAGCAGGACTATCTTCTACATATGCCGTTTTAGCTTATAGTGAAAATATGCCGACAGAGGAACTGATCTTGTTGTCCCAGGCACAGTACACCAAACACAATGTGTTCTAAGCAGTGAATTGTCAAGTCAAAAGTCAGTTTTATTTGTATATCACTAAAGCATAAAGCAGCTTTACAAATTAATTTAATTTAATTTGTAATTTAATTATTTAAAAGTATTATGTTAATTATTTTAATTTATTTAATTTTATTTTAAAACATTTGTAATCAATTAAATTAAACAAATAAAATGATTTAACACACACACACACACACACACACACACATATATATATATATATATATATATATATATATATATAATGTAGGGATTTCTTAATACCACAAACCACAGGACTGTGATATGCCACAGAAACAACTCATCATGAGATGAAGAACCAATCTAATCAAGAGATAACACATAGATCTTTTGTATCAGGACTACAACTTACAGATACCTCGTGATGTCTTGTGACCGCCAATGAATGAACTACTACATCCAACAGGAAGAGGACGAGTAATTTAATCACACCCTCAGGCCTGCAACACGGGATCGAGGCATGACTATCACATGACGTTTGACCATCTGCTTCCTGCCACTGACATTACTGTGTATGCAAAATACCTGTTGTTTGAGCTTGAATGAAAGCTTGTTTTATTCACAGAACATTGGTGTGAGTGAAAAATTGATATTCAGCATCGTTTTCCGGTGATGATATGTTTATAAGAAGTTATTAAAACTTGCAGGAATACGCCCCACTGGAAGCATGTGATTCATGCATGATAAAGGAACCACACAGGGCGTGGCTAAGCCCTGCAGCCACTATCTGATTGGAACAATGACCCGTGGGCCGGACTTACGCCGCGGATCAAAACCTCACTGCAACACAGATTCAATTGCTTCTCGCTGTTTACTCTCTCGAGTGAAGGCTTTTGCCGCTTGCTCTCCCGAG